CAGAGGTTTTGGCTCAATTCGGATCTTTCTGTCTTGTCACCATGGATGTCTTCGTCATTGCGGAAATGTTTGTTTTGTACGCTGGCTGTAGTACAGGTACCGCGATGGTCTTGACAACATCCTCGTTCTTCTCATCGGTGGTATCACCATTGCCATGCCCACCGTCCTCTCAATCACCCTCGCCGTCGGTGCTCAGCAATTAGCCAAGTACAAGGCCATTGATACACGCATCACCGCCATTGAAGAGTTGGCTGGCGTTACTATCCTGTGCTCTGATAAGACCGGAACTTTGACCACCAACAAGCTCACCATCGACCGCAACACTATCCAGACATACAGCCCCTTCTCCACGGAAGATGTTATACTCCTTTCCGCTTACGCCTTGCGTGTGGAGAATCAGGACGCCATTGACACGTCCGTCGTTCAAGCGCTCGGAGATACAGCCCGTGCTCGTGCCGGAATCAAACTGCTCGACTTCAAGCCGTTCAACCCCGTCGATAAGCGTACCGAGATCACATACCGTGAAGAGTCGACCGGCAAACTGAAGCGTGTCACCAAGGGTATGACGGGTATCATCATCGAACTTTGCACGCGCAACAAGACCAAGGAGCTGGAGGAGAGGTTGGAGAAGGACGTAGAAGACTTTGCTATCCGTGGCCTCCGGGATTGCGCCCTCAGTACTTCATGACTTACTACGCCGTATTCATCATTGATCCAGAAGGACGAAACATCGAAGTGGTTTGTATGAAACCTGGTTTCTGGGCGGAGGAATGGAACTGGGCAGTTTGGACCGCTGTTATCGGTGTAACTGAAGTGGGACTGGGAGCAGTTTAAAATTGCGTGCTGTGATTGCACAGGTGAAAAGCTTAATGGTTGTCCTTTCTAGTCTGTAATGTATTCCAGTCACCCGTAACATTCGGTCAAGATGAATACAGGGTTCTATATGATACTACACATGATGATATAGCACAGCCTCAAAGATATGTCAAGAAGCTGGAGAAAATTACATTACAAATGAAACTAAAACATCCTGCGAAGGAAGCATAACACTAGTGTTCATTGATGCCTGGCTTTTCCCTTGGGACCACGTTTATGCTGTCCTCGCCTCGACCCCTTCAGGTATTCACATGTGAGATCTCGACGCAGACATTGACTAAAAATGTGGTAAGAACACTAACATCAAATGAAGTCGATTGTGTACGTGCAAGTTTGGTCAGGTTCATCCTCACTTGGGCGACCACACGCAATTTTCCTCTCCCTGCAAAATAGACATGTGAAACTCAACCTCTTCTGCTCTCCGTCTTTCTTTGGAGTGTGTGGCTTAGGCGGAGATGCAGTCGACTGACATGGGGGTGGCACCGATGCTACCTTTTGTTTGCCCTGTGTGGGAGCCAATCAACGACGACTGGAGGACGGAAAATGTGGTTTAAAATCCATGTCTAATTCAGAATCAGACGAAGGCCTTTCCTTCCGTTTCGCATTAGTAGAAGTTTGTTGAGTGTTGGGCTTGGAGGGTTGTTGGAGGGGGTAATCGGAG